GATATCCAGGCTGGAAGCACAGCCCCCAGGAGCCACCGTGGATTGGGCAGAGCCATGAGGGCTCTGGGGTGAAGCTGAGCCTCCACGTTGCCTATCAGTGCTGCTGGGAAGCTTCTAGAACCTGTTCCACCGTGCTGGAATCACAGTTGTCATCGGAATGTGGCGACTGGAGGAGCCAGAGGAGCTTGGGAAGTCCCCAGAACGCGGGTGGATGGGACAGAGGAAACCCTCTGGAGTGGGACACAGTGCCTTGTTCCCTGGGAACCACACGGGAGGGAGCACGTTGGAGTTACCTCCTCCTTCCCAAAGAACTCAGTCCCGTGGCTGAGGGATAACCAGAGCCCCCTTGGCAGGAGGCCGAGGCTCTGTGGGGACAGAACTCTGTGCAACAGGTGACCCTGCTCCCGAGTCCTGGCGGTGCTTCAGCGTCTGTGAGAGGAGGAGATGGCTCCGTGGGGGTGTGGGAACAGCTCCGGAGCGCTGGGAGCACGTGCAGGGCTGCTGTGTGTGGTTTGTCTCCTGGGAATCTCCGTGTGGGCAGGAGACGCAAACGAGCTGCGGCTTCCGCCTCGTCCCAGCTCTGGGCGGCAGCTCCGGCGCGTCCTGCGCTGCTGGTGGGAACGGTGAGTTCTGACTGAAGCTCACGGGGAGGTTTTCCCTCCTCCCTTTGGGAGGGCGAGATTGGGAAAGCAGATAAAAGAAGGAGAGGCAGCTCCGGCACGGCCGGAATGGCAGCTCGGGGTGGCGAGTGCTGAATTCCTGGGGAAGCGGCACAGGTTTGGGGGCAGAAACGTGAATTGTGGTCGAGTCAAATTTATTTGGGATCTCGTTCCTCTCCAGCTCGGATGTGTGTGTGTTTTCCTTGAGCTGAGCAAGATTTTTGGACGTGCTGTGAGTTTTATGCCTCAAACCCCCGCTCTGGGCGGAGATCCCGAGGTCACGGCCGAAAGCCGGGATGTGTGTGGCTCCCTGGGAAGGCTGGAGATGTCTCCATTGACACTGAGAACTGGGAAGTGTTAACACTATTCAGCCCCTGCGTCATCCAGGCAGGGACACTGAGATTTCTGTTGGATAACGGGGCTGGAGTGACGTCCCCCGGTGTCCCACGCTGGGGGTTTTGTCTCCCCACGCAGAGGGAACAGACTGGGGCATTTCTCCTCCTCTTTTCCTCTGAGAGTCTTTCATTCCCTGTTGGAAGAGGATACTCGTGCCCAAGAAGGAATTAAAAATACCACAGTAAGAAAACTCCTGCTGTGCTGCTGCACTTTACCTGAGCAAGGTGATAATTAACATTCCCTGAAATGCAGCTGTGAGGGGAAGCGTCAGGTTTTCTCTCCTGGAACAGCATTTTGCTGAAA